GAATCTTGGACTAGAGAAGGGCTATCTCAAGAAAGCCTTCCATGGATCAAGAGGACCAATTTTTGGCACAAAGGTTGCCAACTACCCTCCTTGAGCTAACCCTAAACGACCGGATATGTGTACTATTTGGATTTGGCTCCTCATGATGGGGATCTAACTAACAGATCGAATATGATAGAGCTATTCAATAGATAAGTATATTTAATAACTAATATTTTATTTGTTTTCAAAATTCAACCTCTCTAACATTTTTGTCTTCCTTATATTAGGGCTATTGTGCTATACTGCATCAATGCAAATCTTCCAAACAAAAGATCATCCAAGAAATACAATGATGCCATTGAATGGAATGTAATACAACTATGTTTAAATTATTGCCACTTATTCAATTTTTTTATTTTTTTATACCAATAACATATATTTATCATTTTCTTCATGTAGTGCCCCCAACAAATCAACAACAGTAATGATTGTGGCTACTGTATAATGAGGTATGCTAAAGACATCATCACTCACAAGCAGCCTACAATCCCCCTCACAGTATCTATCATTTTGTATAACTTATTTTTTTCATATTATGATGAATATTAATTGTCATCAACTAGCTTTGTTGTCGTGTATGTTATAGTACTAGCTAGACTATGTTGCACCTCTTTTTAAGGATACCCATATTAATAAAGTCCTTGAAGACTGAAGCAATTACGTATATAAAAAGTGGGACACATCTAATATGAGGTGATAGTATTTAGTTAGTTTAGGAATAAATTAGTTTAGTTATCAATATATAGTTTAGATATTTTAGGAATTAGTATTTTAGTTCAAAATGATTGATTTATATAATTGAATTTTAAATAGAATGATTTTGATGTAATTAAATTGTAAACATTATAGTTTTGAATTAAGTAGTGTAGATCTACTTTCTAAGCTATTCTAAAATATTTTTGATTATATCTATTTTTGTATTGCAAGCCTATTTGAAGAAAAAAAAAACCTTAGCTTTTTAGGAAAGCCATAACTATCCTATAAGGTCTCTGTGGTTCCAAATTTGGTCGAAATCTGGAACTTCATATAAGACGATTCTTTAACAACTGTCCTGTATTATCTTCAATATAGGACAATTTAATAATTGTCTTATATAGCTTAAGCAATAGAGGATGGTTGACAACTGTCCTTTATTGGAAAAAAGAATCATCCTCTATGGCCAAATCTATAGTAGTGACTTAGCATGATGATGCAAGTGATATTGTTCCTTTTCTTTCAGAAAGCACAAACTTAATGTTCCCTTCAATTCCCAGATTTTGGTTCCAGCATCACAATTGTTAGGACGGCTATGACATCTTATTCTCACAGAACTTAGGAGATTTTACAATACCATGTATCACAATTATCTCTTTTAAGCTTATCACCCTTATTAAGCTTAGCATTTATGGACTTGATTGCCGGTTAATTCACAACTCAATTACATAGACAATTATGCATACTTAGTTTGGTATACACTATTTCAACTTATTCAAGTCAGATTCTTAGCCAATTAGATTGTAGGGTTTGCTAGATTCATATTTAGGAGACAACTAGGTTAACTCCCATGACAATCTTTCTAGCTATACTACCTCCCTCCTAGTTAGAATCTTTATTGAATTTATGTCCCCTTGTGTCCTTCTACATAACACATTCTAAAAGAACTCCCACTCAAATAAAACACTTTAAATAATTAAAAACATTAAAAAGATAACTAATATCTATAAAATAAAGCAATTAGATAACAATTATCCATAAAGCTTAAATAAACAAACAAATAACTAATATCCATAATCCAATTATAAAACAAATATCCATGAAAAGGTCCAACAATTAATTAAAGTAAAACTTAAAAACTTTAATAACTAATTGTCTCAAAACAAAAATAAATAAATAAAAATTATTAATGAAAACATAGCAAGGCTAGAAGTTCCTTTTTATTTTCACTAGTCCTACTCATAGGAAATTTGATAGTATCATTCTAGATTTGAGTGGCATATCTCATGCCCTTTGGTCCAACTCGTTTTTTATCTCCCTAATGGCTGTAGTTAAAAATAAGGGCCATGAACCTTCTTGTAGGAAGATTTCTTAAGTTCCCAATATTGCCTTCAGGTCATCAACATGCCTAATCTTATCCACATTTATTTTTGCAAGATCTCTAGCTATAGAAAAAAGCCAGTGGTTGATCAACCTCCTCATCTGATGTTTCCTTGATCTCACAAGATTCTCAGCTAGAGTCAAGTCTTTTCCTATCAACTCTGCTAGCAAAAAATAGTTCTATTGAAGCTTCTACTTCCTTTACCTTCTCCCCTGAAGGATTATTAAACCATGTGTGTTCTAATGAATCCTTTTTAGTCTCAAGTGAATAATTAGGAGAGTGGTTTAGAGACTCAAAATTATTAGACATAATCTCTTTCATATCAATACTACAATTAAAAAAGCCCTAATAATTTTCTGCAAAGAACAGAGTGAAAAATGGTCAAGAACATATATAAAACACATAAAACTTGTATAAAAAACAAGAAAAAAATATATCATTGTGTAGATCATGGATTTAGAAATTTTTACGTCTACACCATGCCCTAAAAAGAGCTCCCATATGCCCATAACCACTTTTAAAAGTTTCTAGAATGAAAAATTTATGAAAAATGGGACAAAGCCCGCTCTTAGTGTCAGCATGTGACATATACGTGCCACTATAGAGCCTAATTTCACCACGCATGCCTCATTGTTGGATTCCTCTCACCATCATGAGTCCAACTATGTGATTCTTTGACTAATGGGCAAGTATGTGGCTTGCACAAGCCACCCAAGCAAGTGAAAGGGAAAAAATAATTTTTTTAGGCCTAGACCGAGTTGAGTCACCCAACCTGATCCAAGTTGATCAATTGTCTTTAGCCTCTAGCTGGGTTGATTCAACCCGACTCTGACCGACAAGTTTGTCGTTGTTTTTCACTTGCTTCTCCTCCATTTGGCCTCCATTTGATGTGATTCTGGTCTCATTGGAATTGTCTCTTCACCCTCTACACAACCACACCAATTTTACAAGGTAAAAACTTAGATATCAAATACCAAAATTTTTGAAAAATTTATCCTCTTTATGTTCTTTATAACAGCTTCAATAGAGGTTTTGGATACTTTCAAAAAAAAAACTTTTTTGATTCACAAGAGTATGAGGAGTAAGAATAGAGAGTCTAAAAGTGACAAAGACACATATATATGCAAAGATCTAAAATCAAAATTGCAAATCCAAGATATAAATGAGAAAAATTTTGGAAAAAGAACGAAAGCCAAAGAACAGCATGCATAATAATATGAACACATTCAACGCAACAAAAAAAATAGAGCATGCTAAGAAGCCAGCCAGGTTCTAAATCAAGGTAAGGAAGCCTATGATCATCAAATGGCTAGGGGAGGAAAGAGATGCATGACACACATTCAAGCAGTATATTAAATAAAATACTAATACAATAAAAATACATAAATTTAAATTTTATATCAATATAACCCACAACCGTAGCTATAGGAATGACCCAACTCTAATGCCACTGAAGGAATATTTTAAATAAAAAATATATCAAATAAAAAAGTTGGGTCAGAGTCTTACCAGATTCGGGCATAGCAAAATCTACTTGACTACCCATATGAGTTTAGATTATGGTGCACAACAGATGCACCAAAGAGAAAAAGAGAGGGAGAAGAAGAACAAACTAGAGAACTGTTTGTTCTAGTGTGCTTTTATCTCCAGCATCTAATCATTATCTATACTGAAGGGAGATCTCCATATAAAAGGAAGATCTAATTGGCATTAACTCACCTCATTATGGAGAAAATATGTTGATTGGAATAATTGATATTATGACAAAGGATCATTTCCTTTCCAAGCTATTGATCAGATAGTAATACTAGATTCTAATCAACTTATTGTGACCGGAATTACTGCAGATCCCACTAATGACTCATCATGGGCAGAAATTACACAAATTCTAAATTCTAAAAAGAATAATAGAAACTAATAACTGGTGGTTATAGAACGTTCAAGAAGGCAGTGAAAACTGAACCGACACAGTGAAAATAATGGAAACTGGAAAATGGCAGTTAGTGGATTTTTTTCCCAAGTTGAGTTCTCTCTCTTTTCATCCCTAAATTCCAACATATCTTATTAATTATTATTACTAAACATATATGTTTATTTTATTCTGATTATAATTTTATTTACAGTTATAATATATGAAAAATACGTCGGCAACGTGTCATGTTTCCTTGTCCTTGTTGCAACTCTCTCATCCTTCTTTTATATTCTATGTTTCATGATTTAGGATCTTTTAATGATTTAGGATCATCCCTTTTTCTCCCATGAATAACCTAACATTGTGGATATAGATATACACTCCGTGTACAAGCGAAGATCTTTTCAATTTCGAATATTTTTTAAAATTAAAAAACCCAATCGATAAAATGGGGCTATATACATATATTTATATATATAGCAGCGAAATGAATGAAAATGACTGAAGAAATTGAGAGTCCCAGGCCACCATTTGGAAATTGTTGTCAAATTCTCAACAGCTGAAATGATAAATAAAGTTTCAAAGGCCTGATTGTTTCACGGTAAAAATCAAAGTATCAAATTTAATTTATTTGCTACGTAGTATTATATAGAAAACTTTGTGAAGGGAACTGATAGTAATCATACATTGTAAAACTTATAATTATTACCAAAAATTGTGTTATAATTCTACAAAAAATTTGAGGAAGACATTTGATAGCAACTATTGAAAGTCATTCCCAATATACTGTGCAGTCAACACCAAAAATTTTAGGTGCGACTGATAGCAACTACTGAAAGTCATTCCCAATATACGATGCAGTCAACACCAAAAATTTTAGGTGCGACTGATAGTTATACAACATTTTCAGAAACTACATACTTAATTAGGAATGAATCTCTACTATTTAAGGCCAACAAAACAAGCATTTCCTTCCACGTCGATTTTTCTCATTGTTTCTTCAACTCACCACTATCACATAGAGAGAATATAGATGGCTCTCACGGGTAAAGTAGAGACTGAAGTTGAAGTTCACTCACCTGCCGCTAAGTTCTTCAACTTCTTTATCACTCAACTTCATGATCTTCATAACAATACTGATGTAATCCATGGAGCTAAGCTGCATCAAGGAGATTGGCATAGCATTGGATCTGACTCTATCAAGCAGTGGACTTACACTGTCGGTAAGATGAATTATAGTTTATTAATTATTACTAATATAGAATATGTTATTTAATTATAATATTGATCTTATATTTGCAGATGGCAAGGTCCAAACTTGTAAAGAGCACATTGAGGAGATTGATCATGAGAAAAAGTCAATCACATTCAACCTATTTGATGGAGATATTGGTGAGCAGTACAAAAGCTTGAAGGAAAAGCTTCAAGTGATTGATGAAGGTGATGGCACTGCCCTTGCAAAATGGACTTATGAATATGAGAAGCTGCATGAGGGAATCCCTTCCCCAGAACCATACTTGGACCTTATAACTAAGGTTACTACAGATGTTGATGCTCGTCTTACTAAGGCATAGCCTTTAAAACATCACTGCTTCTACTAAAGTGTTTGATCTTTGTGAGTGTGTTTAATTATAAATTGTTGGTTGTATTAATATAATGGGACAATCGTATCTTTGTGTTTAAGATAATTTTAAATTTTAGTTTCATCCTTAAAGCCAGTTTAGTACACTATTAAAATACGACCCCATAATGTAAGATTCAAATCCGCCAGTATGATTATCATGAATCTCAACTACGATTGATCGAAAGATATTTTTTGAAAGCCTCGGACGAGGGATAAAAAAAAAAACTCTGATATATCAAGCTAGCTAGGCCACGCGACATTAATCTATTGGTTCAAGTTTGGATTTTTAAATTATATTTTATTGGGACTTATTTAAAAGTTTTAATTTTTATGAGGCCAAAAATAATTTCACAGTATTGAAATGATAATTTTACATTTATGTGCCGTCTGGTAGTTTTAATTATCAAATACTTTCTAAGAAAGCGGCTCCAAACATATACTAATGGGAGTTACATATAGCAGTCAAAAATTGAAGAAAAAAGATAAAAAAGAATGGATCCGGCGTAAAAGGGCAAAAAGGCTGCAGCTAGATTGACCATAAGTGACACAATTTCTTTTAAATGAGAGAGTTCAAATCATGTGCTCAAATGTAACATAACGATGGTAATGAATACCAAATAGTTGTTCAGGTTAAAAAAAAAAACAAAAAGAAACAACCAAATAGTTTTATTGAAAAATTCCAGCATATCTTATTATAACTAAAAATAAATTTCTGACCATCTTGCCCTTGACTCCTCCCCTTTGTCATTCAAATTGTCATCCATCGTGACAACTATAACTCAACCAGTGGCAATCATTCACATTTTCAAATCAATTGGAACAGAACTAGAGATCTAAATATAGTACTTTGGTGAAGGGGCAGAGAGAGAAAGCATGATAAATTTGATGGAGGGTGAGATTGTGACTTGAGAAGCCGCAGCAATCTGATGGAGTGAGTGAAGAGAGAGAGTGAGAATGAGGGAGAGAGAGCAAGGAGCAGAGAGCAAGGGTGGGTGGCATAGGAACCGAATGAAAAGAGAAAACTCTGAATTTTATTTCTAGTTGGCCTCTCTTACAACAAAGTGAGTCCTATTTATAGTGTTAGGACTCTGAACGAAAACAGTAATCAGCTAACATTACAAATGTAAATGCTAAACGTTTTATTGGCTTAATGAAGGGTAACGGAACACGTTTGGCTTCAATTCTGTAACTCTTATGTATTAGTTCTGTTGTCCAGTTCAGTCCGTTTCATCCTTCCCGGGTTCAGCAGAACTCGCCCTCGAGTCAAATTCGGCATTATCGTCAATGTAAGGGGATAGATCAGCAACATTGAAGGTGCCTCGCAGGTGCGAGTGGGTCTGAAGAGTGCAGGACTGGGGTGGCCACTCAGCAAGTAAGCTGATGTGTTTGTGGCAGTACTGTACGTACGATCCTTGGGCGGAGTCGTTCTCCCCTAGCACGAGGGCATGCTAGATTGGGTGTGGGAGAATGTCACGGATGATATCTCCGTGACCGTGTACAGACCAAGTTAATGAACGGTCCGCTGGTTAGCCTCGCACAATATGGGTGAAGGGGGCGACATTAGCATTGGGGGTGTTCTGTCTCAGTCTTCGGACTGTGTGCACAACTGGTCGGGGGCTAGTGCCGCCTCCCTGATGAGCCCATGGCAGGGCGAAACCAGTGTGATCCGTACGTGGTAAGGCTTGTCCTGAGGATTATGGGGTCCTCCAGGACGCCGCACGAGCACCGTGTGCTGCGCCAGACTCTCAGCCCGTGACAGAGTGGTGTCAGAGCAGGATGTACTTTACTGTCATGTGCGCGTAGGGTCCCACGTTGGGACTGGTCGGCCTCAGCACCGCTCCAGAAAGGCCTCCAAGCAGGTGGGTCCAAAAGTGGGGACTCGGGCGGGAAGGTTGGCCGTTATCGACTCCACTCCTGTTAGCTCGCGGGTGCGAGTGGGTCCGAAGAGTGCAGGACTCGGGTGGCCACTCAGCAAGTAAGCTGATGTGTTTGTGGCAGTACTATACGTACGATCCTTGGGCGGAGTCGTTCTCCCCTAGCACGAGGGCATGCTAGATTGGGTATGGAAGAATGTCACAGATGATATCTCCGTGACCATGTACAGACCAAGTTAATGAACGGTCCGCTGGTTAGCCTCGCACAATATGGGTAAAGGGGGCGACATTAGCATTGGGGGTGTTCTGTCTCAGTCTTCGGACTGTGTGCACAACTGGTCGGGGGCTAGTGCCGCCTCCCTGATGAGCCCATGGCAAGGCGAAATCAGTGTGATCCGTACGTGGTAAGGCTTGTCCTGAGGATTATGGGGTCCTCCAGGACGCCGCACGGGCACCGTGTGCTGTGCCAGACTCTCAGCCCGTGACAGAGTGGTGTCAGAGCAGGATGTACTTTACTGTCATGTGCGCGTAGGGTCCCACGTTGGGACTGGTCGGCCTCAGCACCGCTCCAGAAAGGCCTCCAAGCAGGTGGGTCCAAAAGTGGGGACTCGGGCGGGAAGGTTGGCCGTTATCGACTCCACTCCTGTTGGCTCGCGGGTGCGAGTGGGTCCGAAGAGTGCAGGACTCGGGTGGCCACTCAGCAAGTAAGCTGATGTGCTTGTGGCAGTACTATACGTACGATCCTTGGGCGGAGTCCTTCTCCCCTAGCACGAGGGCATGCTAGATTGGGTATAGAAGAATGTCACGGATGATATCTCCGTGACCATGTACAGACCAAGTTAATGAACGGTCCGCTGGTTAGCCTCGCACAATATGGGTAAAGGGGGCGACATTAGCATTGGGGGTGTTCTGCCTCAGTCTTCGGACTATGTGCACAACTGGTCGGGGGCTAGTGCCGCCTCCCTGATGAGCCCATGGCAGGGCGAAACCAGTGTGATCCGTACGTGGTAAGGCTTGTCCTGAGGATTATGGGGTCCTCCAGGACGCCGCACGAGCACCGTGTGCTGCGCCAGACTCTCAGCCCGTGACAGTGGGTCAATAGGTAGAGAGAGACACAGGGAAGAGTTAATGAGTGATTGAGGAAGAAAATTTTGGTATAACATTTTGAAGAAAACATAAATATAAAAAACTAATCATGCCGGAGAATTTAAAATAAAAAAAATTGAAGACATCCTTAGCCAGTTTTTGTAGTTATTATTTTTTTCAGCTAATAGGCACGGGTTATAAACAATGGTATATATAGGTATAATAATAAATTAGTTATTGTCTCCCCTCCCCTCCCCTCCTAAACTATAATAAATATTATTAAAATCTCTCCCCTACCATCCGCATCAACAAAACTAAACAAAGTAATACAAAAATATTCCCCTCCCCTCCCCTCCCCTCCACTTCCCTTCCCCATCTTCAAACCAAACATAGACTTAAGGTTACTAGAGATGTCCACACTCATCCTTTAAGGCTAGAACTTTTTTTATCATTAATACTGATTGGCATATTCTTTTAAAAATTTTAAAATACTTAATTTTTTGTGTAATTATCTTAAAAATTTTAAAACTATTGATTTTTCCTTATAATTTAACTGTCGACTCTATCCCTCAATTTTAAAAAAAAAACTTTAAATAATTAAGTATATCCATATTTAAATAAATAATTTAGAATATTTGTGTTAAAATTTATTAAATTTAAAGAAAAAACAGTAATTATATTGAGTAATTTACTATATTAAATTCTTATTTCATAAGTTTTTTAACTGTGCGCTTGAATATTATTTTAGCAAATTTATGTATTTAATTTTTAAAAAATTACTAATTAAATAAATATACTCACATAATTAAAATGTTTAAAATATAAATAAAAAGTAAAAAATACACTACTTACAAAATTTAAATATAAGATGTCATAAAAAATAATAGTTAAATAAAACCACATCATATATAAGAGAGGCAGGTAATGATCATAATATAAATAACGGGTGTTTAAAGACCCGTTATTTATTATCAAACCTTTAAATGACGAGTGTTTAAAATAACTGTCACTAAAGGTAAAAAAACCTTTTGATTTCTTAATTTAAAAAAATAAAAGAGAAACTAACTTTTAAATGACAGGTGTTTAAACACGCCTCATTTATTGTAACCCAAAATTTTAGTTTCTAGAAAGAAAAAAAATAAAAAAATTGTACTTTAAATGACGGGTGTTTAAAACACTCATCATTTAAAGTCTTACTAATATATGACGAATATTTAAAACACCCATCATTTATTAAAACACCTGTCATTTAAAATCTTACTAATATATGATAGGTATTTAAAACACTTGTCATTTATTGTAACCCAACATTTCAGTTTCTGAAAGCAAAATAAAAATAAAAAAATTTTAAACTTTAAATGATGGGTGTTTAAAACACCCATCATTTAAAGTCTTGCCAATATATAACGGTGTTTAAAACACTTATCATATATATAGGAATAAATGATGGGTATTAAAATACCCGTCTTTATCCCCTTTTTTAATTAGTTTTGCAGGTTCATTTTTCATTCCTTCCCGTTCGTCTTCTCACATATTCTCTCTTCTCCAGTTGCACATGAAATCGATAGAAATCTCTCAATCTTCCTCCATTGTTGCCATCGACTATCTTCATCCTCTTCAACATGAAAGCGCCACCACCTGTGCCATTGATTGCCGTCTCATTTTCTTCCTCTTTGTGTTTCATCCTCTCTTTTCCAAGGTACGTGGGTGTGATTTTTATAATTTTTCTTCATTTTTTTTCCAATATCCTTAGATTTCTAGATTATGGAATTGATTTATTTAATGTTATGGATTGTTTTATTAGTTGATTTTTCTTGTTTAAATTTTTACTCATTTGTTGCCTATTTTGGTATTGTGGGGTGTCAAAAATTGTTAATGTTTGATGTGATATTGACTTGAGAATGGTAGTAGATGATATAGTTAGCCTTAGGATAATTGTTAAGATGAAAATTAGTTATCAAAATGGGATATTTATTATGATTGTATTTTTCTATGAATTTTGATTGATTTATTTCAATAATTTTTAATTTAAATTCTGTGCCTTATTTGATCAGAGTAGTTTTATCGTTCAAAAATATATATTGAAATGTACTAGTGTGCTAATTTTTATTATAATTGGAGTTAATTTAGGTGACTGAAACTAATGCATGGTTACTCTAAAAATCATTGCTATTTTTGAGATTTTTACATTTGCTAAAGAATGATTTTTTTCTTGGCTTGGGAT